TACAATAGACATACGTTGGTGACGAAAGATAAAAGTTGTTGATATTCCCATGATTTTGTTTCTGTTAAAAGGTTTAAAGAGTATTGTATAACTTTAAATGTCGATGGCATTAGATTTTTGCGTAAAGAAAAAAAAAACATGTTGTTAGGCAAGATACAAAGGACGACTCCGCCCACTTCACAAATAAGCGCCTTTCTTTCGTGCTTTGTGGGTTGAGAATTTTTCTACTTTTTAAACAATCTTTTAATCATTTTACTGACATTTTCTTCAAAAACAAAGTGGGCGCATGTGTTGGCTCACCACACATGTTTTGGCTGAACAGTGTAATGCAATGAGCTTTGGTGAACATGCCATGACAAATGGTGAGTTCAGTGTAGATATAGTATAGCATATAATCGAAACAATCAATAACTAGTCCTGGTGAAAAATCAGGCATAGCGCGTGGCTAACCGACATCAGGTAACTTTTAAGGTCAAATGATGACCTTCAGAATGCGGTTACGTCGCACAGGCACGAGGCTGGCTCTTGCGAAACGTGCTCTACTTATTACGTCATCACGTCACCGGCTGTGGTCTCTCCAGGCACTTAAATGCCAGTACAGAAGAATGGAAAAAAAAGCTTCAAGTTATGAAGACGAAAACATTTACCAGCAGCCATGCATAGCTTAAAGGAGTTACGCTCAGTTTCATCTCATTCTTTGTTTTAAAACTTTATCTAAAGACACCATTGTTGTTTCATAATGTTTACAATATCATGCCCCATTGGACGAAACACTCAAACGCCATTTTATCTTATTCTTAGAGATTGTTTTTAGCTTTTGCACACTGTGTTTGAAAAAATTATAATAGGAGGAGGGATTAAAGTGCTTTATTTAAATTCTTATTATCCAGATTGTTACATAAAGTGTGTGTGTGTTTGTTCTGTTTACAGGGAGGTTAAGATAAGATCGGAAATCGACTGCATCGAATGACGCCATTAAAAATTTACAACAATTCACACGGACTTTAAAAGATCGGGTGCGGGAAGAGAATCACTTTGTCTGGTATCTGTACCAGTATATGTATATTCACCAAGTACGGACATACATACATACATACAGGGTACATACAAACATACACATACCAGTACGCGGGCACCAGCTGCTAGAACCTCCCATTACTGGCACTGCGCTCCGACAAAGCAGTTTGAGGGGCCATACTGCAAAATAATAGCAATAAGACCTGAAAATGGCACATTTGTTGTTCAGTCTGTGGCCATAGATTTCCCATTTTCCAATATCTTGGCCAACTTAAAGCGGCAAAACCGCTATTTGCTGATTTTTCGTGGAAGAGCTGCCACAGCCCCTGGAGTAAAGTGAGTCTACCCGAACAGAAAGCAGACGATTCCTTTTCTATACTGCGAACATTATAATGCCAATAGAAAAAACATGTGTGTGATGGTATCTAGCTAGATATTTGATTTTGATGGTACTTCTTGGCGAATAATTATTGGCAAGTCATTGGAACCATAATGTTTCACCAATAAACGTATGCCACGTGAACACAGCGTTTTCCAATCAACCCAGAGCATAATCCCTACTAACTACATGTAATTTGGGCCCAAAATGTAGCTTGTGAACAAAAATGCTAGGCAAATGGAAGTGAATTTGGCAGCCTGTGTGCACTAATTTGGACAGCAAGTCACCGTCTCTCCTCCTGAAAATCTTACACTAGCCTTCAACTGTGACCATTCGCTCTATCTTTCTGAAAGGGGAAAGAGAGATATTCGTGTCTTCGTGGTCGTTTATGTGTCTTACTTTTGAATAAGGTTCTTTCTTTACATTTTGTTGCTCGTTTGGATACATGCACCAATCCTTCCCAAGAGGCCGTTTCGACACGGAGATATTTTATATGCAAAGAAGCACGTTCCATATACATGTATATTGCCTCTGCTGCGAAAAAAAAAAGAAAAAATCATCACGCGGTTCAACAGAAGCGCACGAATAATCAGACTAATACATACATGCATCATATTATATATCTGTTAGCTACGGAATATTTCAAGAATGATACCAAGTCTAACGTTTTTTTAGTCGAACTCTGCGACCTAACAACGAACAATGTCCATTGCGTGCTCGGAACAATCACTATAATTTTCTAGGCAATAAACCTCTCTCAGATAATAATAAACATTACAGGGATTGGTCTTTCCATTCTTTCTTTTTTTTTGTAACAACATGTCCATTCATATTTTCAATAACCGTGCGATCGATTTTCTTTGAAAAACAAGTTACAAATGACATCAGGAATCATTGGGTGCTATGTATTTTGCTTCGGTTCACGTGGTTTTTAAATCTTCCAAATGTTGCTGACGTGTACAACGTACACCTGTTCACCAGTTTCTTCCAATCTCCTCATGTACTGCACTTAACTAGATGACAGTGACACATCATCTGGCTCTCTGAAACTCATATAACTATTTACTATTCGTGATAACAACTAGAGGGCAACGAAGGTCGCGAGTCTGAACGTGATCTCCTGATTTGTGGCTTGTTTGAACTAATTACGAAAAGCCTGATAGGAAATTGGCAATACTGCAAAGGGAATTTGATTCAGTTCCTTAATACAGTAGAGCAGTAAGTGCAGGTTTGTCAACAGGCATGCTGTTTTATTGTAAAAATGAGAATGCCATCCTCAGAGGGGACTGCCAATTTTAGCTACATATCTGAAAAGGTAGATGGTAAGCACATACTGATGCACCATATTCTAAGTTTAGTTTCGAAGTTGATCACGTGATGGTCAACACATTGGTACTACCTTTTTTAGATGTGGATTATACCATATTTAATTGACAGAACATTTAGGTTAAGACAAATAATGCCATTTTTATTGATTGAACTCGTACAATTACAGGAAACGTCTGCACAACCACGTCTTATGTAAGGATGGGTATGGCTTCATCAATTCATGGATAATGTCTAGAAGACAGCACTTGTTCAGAATCACACAAATGTTTCAGATTTTCTCTTGTGTGAAAGGGGGGGGTTAGAGGTGTGGTCTTGCCCCCCCCCCCCACCCCACCCCCCCACCATCCTTGACATTCTGGTATATCACTCAGAGATTTGTCTGACGAATGGACGTCTGAGACATTGGTTTTAGAGCATCCGTGTCTGGTCTCACGTTATTTCGTTTTATGCTGTTTCCAGTCTGTCAAATAATAAGTTGTCTGAACCACAAAATTAAATCGAGAAGGGCACGGTGAAATTCCCCTCGACCTCTGCTTCCTCATAGTTGCTGCGTACGGTGATTGTAGTATTGTGTATTTGATAGGGTTGTGCTGATTATATCCATTGTTATTGATTTGTTCAATTGGGATGCTACCATGTGTGGGTGAAAACCAATGCAAGAAGAGCACATATAAAATGTTGTAAACCCCTGAATACACCTATGGAAATGTTTTTGTTGCTCATGGACTGTTTACACACCAAAAAGACAAATAGGACATGCATGACGCGTCACAGTAATGCTGGTTTAGTATATGTTGTTTTAGTGATAAATTAGGCAGGAACAGGTACTTAAATTTTGACACAGTGGGAAACAGGGCTTGTCAGATCACTGTTCCATCGTCATGGCAACACGTCCAAGTATTTATACATATAGTATAAATAGGACCTAACGCATGGTTACTTCCTCCTTAATTTTTCAAAAAATTCACCTAGGAAACAGAAAACGTTGTTTCGGTGGTTCTTTGTTTCTTTGTGAATACATCTATTCAGCCTTACGTTTGAAAATAATCACATATCTGATTTTTGAAAGCATCTATCTCAAAGCCTCTCAAACCAGGAAATACAGCTGCCATTGATAACCAGTTTAGCAAAAGGAATCTACGTACTAAAAGGGAAACTGGACTTGTTCGAATAGGAATCTGTTTCACACTGCAAATCAAGCCAAAGCTTGGAATGGCGGGAATTTGGTGTCAGTATATATGAGTCAATCTTCCTAACTATACCGTAAAATCATTTTTACACAGTTGAATGATTCCTCGCGGAACGTGCAGCAAAAAAGAAAACGGTATCTTTAAAATCTTTAGTGAACACACACTTTCCAAGCTCATCCTTGCGTACGTCATCTTCTAAAGGCGGTTTGTCTCCTAGCAGTAGCTACAATTGATAACAACTCCACCCTTTGCACGTTTCGCTACACGCAGCACGTTGACCGTCATTCTCAAATCTGGTAGCAGGGGCGGATCCAGGATCATTTGAAGGGGGTCCGCAGATGCGAAGCCGACCCCACCCCCCGACCCCCACCCCCGTTGGCGTGGGTCCCGAAAAAAACTGGTATTTGAGACGGCGAACGGTGCCATTTGGTACTGTTTAATATTATAAATCAACAAGTCAAAATCCTAAGGGGAACATAAGAGTGATTTTTTTCAGAAACTGAAGGGGGTAAGGACCCCCCCCCCTGATCCCCCCCCCCCNTTACCGGGTACCTTTATCATACCCCATGAAATACAAATTACCTCACGTACAACATGTGATAGCACCACAAGAAAGACAATGAGGTGATCTTTTGAGGAAATACCAAGATCCTTTGTCTCGGATTTTTTTGCTGGAAGTCTGGTGGGATGAAAATAACATTTGAATGTCAAGCATCCGTTTATTTTAAATATTTTTTTCTATTAGTAATCAGTGTGTTGGTCTTTATTGGCGTGATTTGGCCGATAATGCCGAATTTATTTTAGTTGAAAACAATTGTTCTGTGACAGACAGCATTAAGGCACAAACTTTACGTGTGCACTTACATAGTAATAGACAGATGTCTTCGATCAGAAATTCATAATATGGTATAACATACAAAAGAACATATTTAACAGAAAATATTAAAATGCTGCACTTAATTTGTATATATTGAGATATATTAGCGGATTGGGGACTTGGAATTCTAATCACCGGGTGTTGATATTCCTATAATTCTTTACAATTAACAGATTTTCCTTAATGACCCGCTGTAATTATGTTTCAGATTGCTGTCTGGAAATGGGTTGTCGGCACTGCCAAGAGGAGCTTTTGGAAACATAGGAAATCTACAGATGTTGTAAGTACACTGTATAAAGTGGCCTATGGTTCTTGTTCTTCAGCCTCATCGCCAGAACCAAATACTCAACATTACTCATACATATACCCAGTGGCCTTTATATTACTTTTTACACACAGATGTGAGGACATTTGCCCATTTTTTCACAATTTTCTATTGCCCTTCGTCAAATGATAAACATGTCAAGACGGGTTTTATGAACAAAATGGATGACAAAAGCAACAGATAATTGCACTATTTCGTGATATGACCTTGCCAGTCCTTGGTGGAGCAAACGCGATCGATGTGACTAATCTTTGTTCTTCTTTTCAATCAAAAATCGCTTGGAAAATTACTGGGAATTACCACCGAGAGAATAAAGATGGTCACTTGAGCAGTTTATTTCTTGGAAAAACCAACTCTCCTCAATCATGGCTCAGTCCCCGTGTTGTTCCCTGCCTATACGTTATCTGCGGGTCAGTTAGCACTGTAAGGGCAGGGCGGCGTAGGGTTTCATGCGGAGAGACGGGGCAACCCTGTCTATGACGAGGTGAAAGAATGGCGAGGGTTAGCAATTTTTTCAGCATGTCATGGCCATTCCAACTAGATAAATATGTGTGTGTGTGTGTGTGTGTGTGTGTGTGTGTGTGTGTGTGATTGACCGCACGTGTGTGTGTGTGTGTGTGTGTGTATGCGTGCGATCAGTTCAGATAAGGACAAAAAATCGTTCAAACGTGTCGTAAGACGTTTTGAATTATGGAACAGCGGCTCAGAGGTCGTTTGTGGCTTGGTGAGAAGGGAGCTTCCATTGCACTTCAGAATTTTTGGTAAATCAATTCCGAGGTCTTCTGGCACAAGATTACCCATTCCAATTTGAAGTCGCCCAAGCTGAAACAAGCTCGCCCCAGAAATGATGTCATGTTCGTTTATGGGCATACGGTTCCATATTTGAGATAATTATCTCCACCAAAATAAACGAGGTTTTAAATAGGTGTGAATTCCAATTCGAAAGCCTTTCTTTGTAAAACCTTTTACTTCGTAGTTTTATATATAACTGCTTGAGTTATTTTTGTTACTTAAGTAGATCAGATTCGCCCACAGAAGCTGTACATGTATGTTTATGACAAAGGTTACTACAGGATAAAGAAAAAATGTTTTTAAAGGTGTAAATATTTTCTCACTGAATAGTTCAAGGAAAATTACATTCATATGATAGTGATATACTAGATGTTGTCAGTTCAACACGATATATTTATTTTATAGGGTAACACGGTGTTTTACAGCCTCATCGTGATTTGCTATCGACTTTTAACTCAGTTGTCATCGTTCGTTTTTTATTATTGCATGTATACTGGCAGCAATAGCCTGTTCAATCCACTGTACAAATTGAATGAGAGGATATAAATACATTATTAATTTTTTGGAGTTGATTTAAGGCGACCCAATCATTTGTATGTGGGTTTAGATATAATGTTAGAAATGAGATGGGATTTGAAAGAGCCATCAACAGGGTGATATACAAAGCTCTGGTACCTACTTCTGAACTTTTAGACCAAGCTTTTAGTTTACTTTTAGACAAGCTTAATCATTAATTAGCGGTCCAAGTAAACCAGATATTGTCTCTGCTTTAAAACGAGAAAGACATGGCGGCAATTTTGCCCCGATATTAAGTTACTGTTAGTAAAGTTTTAACTTGAGAACGGTAATTTTGGTCTCTAAGTTTTCGGTCTAACTGCTGCAGAAATGAACGTTAGCCAAACGCTGTTTTTATCAAAGCTGTTATTTGGGCAATGACGGACTCTACAGTGAAAAAAAAACGCTGTTTCAAAACAATAAAATTAAAAGATTAATGAGTTCTTGGACCGTGAGTTTTTAGTGGACTTTGAGTTATTTGTCCTTTTCGAAAATGTAAAGCCATTTTTTCGTTTTGCAGGACCGGTAGTTATTTTTGCACATTTCACCGTACATCTGACATATGTTGGCCCAGCGTAATTACCGTCTATTTCCTCTGTGTCTGACGTACCAGTACATTGACCAAGCAGATAACAAACCATGATTATTTCTCAAGAGACAGCAAATATTTGAATTGGTTTCTGGTTAAATCTGCAATTACTTGTCCTTTTTTTCAGGTCTCTGAGTGATAACAAGTTTGCTGACCTGGCTGACCTGGTGGCCGTCATGTCGAAGAATGCCACGTCCTCAATTTTAAACATGTGAGTGTATTTTTCTACTTCCTTTCATTCTTTGCAACTTGGAGAATTTCTAATATCAAGCGTATTATCTTTACAATCTATTTGCTGTAAAGACGGTTTGAATAATGTTCTTTTCATTTCGGATATTGGATCCCTCGCAAAACTAAATTGCAATCAAAGCAACCGTTCCTAATACAGAAAGTTGTAGATAAATGCGGCGGAGAACCACAACAATCATGTTAATGCAAAACCGCTCGGCTAATTTGTCTCTTCCAGGAATCTGTCACGGAATAATTTTACAAAAGTTCGGAATGGAACTTTTGTTTCTTTAGTCAGTTTACAGACATTGTAAGTACTTCAGCACGCCATTTTATTTGCATGGAACAAGTTATTTGCTAACCTTTTATAATAACACCATTGCCGAATCCAAACTAACAGAAACAGTTGACTATTTACATTTCAGTGGAGCATGTATACTCCGATATCTTCCCTGCCTCCCATATCATATAATACCATCCCAATATTCCAACATATTTTTTTCCATTCCAAAATGTCCTTCATAATATTACTAACCCCATCGAAGTTTAAGCCATAATTTCAGCAGTTTTGAATACTAATAAAGATTATCCACTTTTACCTCAACCTTACCTGACTCTCAACCGGGCAAGCTTTTACCTGCCATAAACTTTATATCACTAATTTGTCTTGTTGGATTTTTAACCGACCGCAATACGCTAACATTATAAGCATAGGTGTGTCATCGGGCTAATAAAATGTCTAACAAGATTTCTCAGTTGACGAGATAACACTAAACAAATTAACTAACAAATTTCCCTGCTGACAAGATTAGGCCTACATACAGCGAAGTTGCATGTTTGTCAACGTAAAGGTCTCAGGGCAAGCAGATACATTTTCTGTCTGTGTCGTGTTACAAACAGCGAAATAACGCAAGTAAATAAAGGAGATAGGCCTACATGTATCATAGGCCTATACACTCGTGGCGTTAGCAACACTGCTTGGAAAGAGCTACATTGTAGGCCTACATTCACAAAAAAAAAGTTGACACAGAGTATTATATGCACTGCTTTTCACTACCTATGTATTCTTATAATTTTTCATTGTATGCGCCTTACTAATATTCTACGGTTGGCTCATTCCCCGCACATAACAACGTATATAAACAATATCCACTTTTCTTGAATTTCACTCGAGTTAAATAGGGTTCATTCCGATAAAATGAGTTTCAATACCTAGAAATGATTTTTCTGGAAATTCCAACGATTTTCCCCTTAATCATCAAGGATATCCTGTCTAACACTGTTTTGAGGTCTAAATTTATCAAAACTGGTGATATCCAATAGTCTCCATCTCTATTATGAGAGAGACGCACGTATTTTAAACCTTTGAATGCAAAAAGACAAAAATAAGGCTTAATCTTTCTGTTGTTAACCGTAGTGGGTTTTTTGGTATAGGCCTACCTTGCTGGTTACATGTAAGAGAATAGTGTTGGATTTCCCGGGAAAAGGGACTTATTTTTGGCTATGTAAATCTTACATGCATTGTATTCTTTTATGGTTTGAAATCAGTGCTCAGCTAACACCTCTTAGGTACAATTGATTTAGAGATATTATTGGTGACAATGTTGCTACATGTACAGGGCCAGATCCAGAGATATTTTCTGACAGTCTTCCAAATTACCTTTGTTGATCCATCCTCCATTTCTGACCGTCTTCCGACAGAAAAAAACATATACCCGTCAATGTAAACTTGAAAATCCGACCGTCTTCTGGAAGACCCAAAAGACGGTCTCTATCCGCCCCTGATGTACATGCACTTAGGCTTCGTTCACATGCAATGTCTATTTTCTATTTTCTATTTTCTATTTTCGGTATGTCTTATGATCACGGTCTGTGCACTGAATATCCCGCGGCGTAATTACTGGCAGCGCGAGCCAGTTACTATAAGCTACTATAAGTAACTGGCTCGCGCTGCCAGTAATTACGCGGCGGGATATTCAGTGCACAGACCGTGATCATAAGACATACCGAAAATAGAAAATAGAAAATAGACATTGCATGTGAACGAAGCCTTAGTAAAATGAACGAAGGAGTATAAGGCAACACACCTTTGCACAATCCTACAGATTGGTTTGATTTGGTTTAGAGTACTGGAACGATTTTGTTTTAAAAAATAATTTCCAGTGTGGCTACATTGTATCAACTACTCATCCGTGGCAATGCAAAAGACCCTTCTCGTCTTCTCGTCCTGACCTTCACCTTGACCGCACCCCGTCATGGGTGACGAGTCCAGGTCCCGGTTTCACAAAATAACTTAAGTCAGGTTCTCTGGCTAAGAACTTAATTACCAAGGTTACATGGTCACATGGGCTCATCTTACCCTATCAGGAGCAGTATAACAGCACCCTGATGGAAATCCTAGTCAACTAAGCCAGGGAACTGACTTAAGTTTATTTGTGAAACTGGGGCCAGAACGTCCCGTGTTCAAACCGTTGTGTTCAGATCGTACATACGTATACACCCATAAAATGAATGCTGCCTTAACTGAAGACGATTTTGTATTCAGAATAAAAATGTGCTGTTTCTTTTTGCTTCACGGAATTTGAAGATAGCAGTTTAATACAAACATAGAAGGTGTATGGCTTTAAAGAAAGAAAAACGAAGACGTTTTGGGCACAACCGTGAGGGCATGGTCATGGAAAAATGTTTTTCATTATCAAAGTTCGACTCTACTTTAATCGATCTTATGCTTAACTGATCAGTTATCACCACATCCTATGATTAATATCAAAATGTGTCGACAACAATCGATAAAGATTGCTTTCAACTGCAATATACACAATTTTCTCAAAAACGTTCTGGTTTTAACTGCGGAGTGAGACCTTGGCATAGCCAACTTCCAAGTCAGGGCATTACCCAATATCAATGACCCTAAACAGATAGCCATTACTATCCATTCAATATCATTAACCACGTTTAAAAGAGTTCTCTGGCAGGCCTATCACACAGTCGTTTTTAATCGATTGCCAAAAGTAACACGTATTAGTACACGTGAAGCACTCTGTGCAGTGTTACCCAAAAGTTGAAACGCACATGGTGTCTTCCTTTCGGAAAAAAAAAAAAAAAAAAAAAAAAAAAACAGGAATTAGGATAAAAAGTGACAACCAAACAATGAGAATGAGGAAAGGGTGATTTACCGACCGGCTGCACCAGTTTTCCCCACTCAACGATTGTCTGAACGTCATTACCCCAAAGACACAGGAGATGACTGGCCCGGCACAAAGAAAAATAAGAATTATTTCTAACAAAAGCGTTAATAAAGTCGGTAACGTGACTCTGACCAAGCGTTCGTGACAATGTTACCCCGCAGTTTCTACCGCAGCTTACAGCTCCTAGGGGTGCCCACTGACTAGATAAGGAGAAGTTATATGATCTCGAGCGTTCTAGCGGGGTAGATCAGTTAAAAAATTCCCGGTCTCAAGAAATTGTGGTGACGCCAAGCTTTGTGTCTCGGGTGCGCGGCGTGCCACCAGATTTGAAAAGAATGCACGTGTGCACTGGTGCATGTGATCTCCACAACTCCCAAGTGTGTGTATGTGCGTGCTTGCATGCATGTGTGTGTGTGTGTGTGTGTGTGTGTGCGCGCGGGCGCGCGAAATAATTCCCTTACGTGAGTTTTATTTATGAAATTACTATATCCCTCGGAATAGATAAAAATAAATGAGAATAGGACTATAATAAACGTACTAAGGAATAATTATACAAATACAATGTGCAATTGTAAAAAAGTAGAAAATACTATCCCTAAGCTCCAGTGTCCTGGTAGCTCTTCACTCCCTAGATACCTCAATTAAACCTCTGATGTGGTACGACGTCTATCATTCTCTGGAAACATTTGACCGAATCATGTGTGCAGTGTGCTCGTATGCGTCAACGTGTGTGCTTTCGCGTGCGTATGTTAACTGAATTTGAACGTGTTTTCTGTGAAATGCGTGCATCAGGCTTGTGATTGATCATTTTGTTAAAAATTTGAAGTAGACGAAATGTACTATAATACGTTTTTCAGACGATGCTTATGTCTCATTCACAGTCCAAATTACTTACAGATTACTTACAGAGCTTTGATCTTTTGTCATACGAAAAGTACGTGTCATTTTTACCACGTTTTTCATTAAAACGCCAAATTGTTATTGGCACTTCTTTTAAAGAAGCGTAGTATGTACTTTGTGTTAAATGTATACAGCCATCTCAGCTACCTTCGTGCAGTAGTACCTGTCTAAAATTCAACAATGTTGTTGGAATTTTACGAGATAATCTGTGTGGGGCTGTCTCTCATATTAGAAATGTTCGCTTTTCTGCTTATTATTTGTTCAAAGAACTGGCTGAAAGCAAACCGGGAATGCATTGAGAGTTTCATCATAAAATTACGAATAAACCTTAAATTTCTAATGTAAATATTTCAAATTACATTGAGGCTAAAAATGAACTTTTTTAATTTCTTTTTTGACATATTACTCGTATGTATAGATAGGTGTAACCCCTCTGTATCTGTACAACATACTATTATAAACTACGATTTCAGTAATATTCAGTAATATTCATTTCAGTCAATTTAATAAAGAATCATAACTTGAGTATCGAAAACTTATTAAACATGCAAAAGGCAATTGTCTTTCATTTTATAAAAAAAAATTACCAAGGATGTAGAGAAGACTTCCTTCGCGCGACAGGAAGGGGGGTGGGGGCGCGCGCCCACGTACACTTAGATAATAGTCGAGAAACATAATCTGACAAGGTAGCTGCTTCCAAGCAGGATCTGAGGATGTATCTCTTTGGCTGTAACTCTCAACGATTTATCTCGAGTTCTCAAACAGCAGTAACTCCGTTTATCCTGGTGCTCGGTGTTGGATTGCTAAAAGGAAATAAATTGACACGGATTGAGGAGGCAGCACGTAACGTATTATTTTAGATTATACTAACACGTCTACTGCTGATGATAAATGGGGAATTAGGCTCATCGATTCTCCCCGCTCAGACGTATCCGCATCCGCCCCTAGCTTGGGCCATGAATGAAGAAGCAGACCAAAACGGGGAGAACGGCCACGGCCTGATTCATCACGATTGCCTATGACCAATCCATCAATATAAGGCATTAGAGACAATAGACATTGGGTATTTATCACGTCATTAGATTAAGAAATTGAACGGACGCGGACATGAAATCTATTGCCTCGAGCTTTAACAGAACGTTTTTAGATGAATCAACAACGGAGATGGAAAAGTGTTATCTATTTTATGCATGATTATATCCAATAAAAATCAAATCGAATTGAATCAGATTTAATTAATGAAATCATATCTAATTATACTAAATCCAATTGTATTTAATAGATGTATTGATTTGTTCAAAAGTGTAACCGCTGCTCTGACTTATAATTTGCTTAAGCACCACATGGCTCAAATACATGTAGATCTAACTGCTGGGCATCAGTGGGATTGACTATGATCGCCATTGATACTACGCAGCTCTCAGTAGAGGTCTTCATTTTTTGAAACAGCGAAGAGTTTCTTTTCCACTGTCTAGAAAAAAGTAAGAAAAAATGTAAAAAAAGAAAAAAGGTAGAGCGGGTGAAGTGGGCAATTTTCCGTCTCTTCCCCATAAAACTGATCTCAATCATCTTTGGATTACTTGACGATCATGTGGCTAACGCTAGCAACAACGTTATTCCAGTGCAGTCTTTTACTGGATTAGGAAACCAACCACAATGGAAATTGCTATCGGAAACCTGCTAGTGAAGATTGAGGCAACCAAGGGCCTGTTCAGAACCAGTTGACCCACGGGCTAACTAATCCGCGGATCAAATATGGCGTGCACTAGACAAAGGACTCATGCTTCCCATCTGCGCCGTCCCTGCAGGGGCAGAGCAATTATATCTCGTCATGCTTTCAATTAGGTCGCGCAATATTTGATCCGCGGACTAGTTAGCTAGTTCGCGGATTAAGTGGTTCTGAAAAGGGCCCCCAGACTGAAGACCGAACCAAAGACTGAAACCCTAGATGAAAGGAGCTTCTACAGGGTTTACATTATTATCTAGTGCTGCCAGCACGTGTATCGAGTTGGTGCCATTTCAGTGGGTATTAGCTAGGTAGACGGTCTATTCAGCATGTTCAGTTCTGTATTAAGACTGGTTCTTTAACAGATTCCAGGAATTGAAGCAGGGTAATGCCAGGAGGATAGTGGATCTTACGCTTCAATTTGCACCGTTTTAATACCGCCAATAATTAGTCACTTGTAACGCAACACATCTCCAGGGTTGCTCTTGCAGACGAAAAAAATTGAATAAACAAGAAAAGACACTTTTTTAACGTGAGAACTGGCCGGCCAACCTGTGTAGAAGCTCGGTCAATAAATCCGATGTGAAAGGAATTGGAGCCCGGTCCACGTTACTTTGTACAGGTGACATTCGTCCCATATACTAGCCCCAATACTCGAACTAACCCTAACCCTTACTAATTATATATGGGGCCCCGGATTTCCACTCCTAGGACTACCATTCCTGTCACACCGTACATCAGTTGCGTGATATCAGTGTCCATGTAATGTGAATGTTAACACTTCACACTTTAATATACTTTAGATTACAAAAGAACTAGGCGGGTAACTCAATCCAACATTTAGCATTCTCTTTACATCGACGACATGAAAATGCCTTTAGTCGACTTTCCTCTGTGCGTGATAGAGTATGATTCACTGTGAATTACCCACGCAAGGAATCTGGGGTTTTCACAGTTAAAGCCGTGTGCATTACTTTCCGTGAAATATCACCATTTCAAATTTAATTTCAATAAATACTGACGCATCACCCGAACGCTATCTTAAGGACAAACGACATCAGAAACAACTTTGCATGTTGGAATCTATTTGTCATTCCTCTGAGTACTACAACCGCGGGACTGCGGCTTTCCTGGAAACCCCATTGCCAAGACAGGACTATCAATCTTCGTTGCAGAACGCGTGCAGTTTCGAAGGTTAATCGTTTAAGGCACATAAGAAAATTCGTCCTCATCGATTCCCATCAACAAGTAGGATAAGTATCCTCGCTGCGTTCCCCTCATTTGTACTGAATTAGCATCGATTTCCCTTTTAAAACGTCTGTTTAACGCCCGGGCGGTATTGGCCTATTGGAATAACACGCAGTCAAATTAATTCGTAGTCTATGGCACTTAGTAGAAATCGAAAATGTGGGCTAAATGGGGTTTGTGTCTTTAGCTTCAATTACATTACATGGCTCAAGCCATCACGTGTATGTAGATTTGCGGTGATGACCAGACTTAATTTTAGTGGCTCAACTAGTGTGCTTAGAATAGATAATGGCTGTCCAAAGATAAAAAAAACCTAGAATTAAGAGAAAGAAAGAAAGAAAGAAAAGAGAAAATGAAGCACCGGTATGGCACTGGTTAAAATGCAAATATTTCCATCGTCAAGTCAAGGCCCATGTACTTTTAGGAACGGCTGAAGCGTCATGTATCATATATACAACCCACGCTTATTCTCTTTTGAAACAGTGAACATTTTTATCGTTATTACGTATTCTCAAGAGACAAGGAAACACCTATTTAAAAATATGGCATTGCCAAGTTAATCATCTGGACAATCCATCTTCCAGGTAATTGTGCCACTAACAGGTGACAAATTAAATCGATTTATTCTGGATATTTCACCAATACAACTGTTGAGATGAAACTAATACTCTGTGCGTGTTTTTCTCTCATAGGAATCTTGCCGGGAACCGCTTGAAGTACATTGCTCACGGAGCCTTTGCGGAACTCACAGTCCTAGAATCATTGTAAGTTGTTTAAATTGAGAGCATTCACATCGAGAAGAGCCGAGGTCTAGCAAGGCCGAGACCTAAATATGGCGGACCTACATGAAAGGAAGACAGCGTAATCCTTTAGTGGTCTCTCAGTGACATTCATTGACATTCATTGAGAGACCATTAAAGGATTATGCGGTCTTCCTTTCATGTAGGTCCGCCATATTTAGGTCTCGGCCTTGCTAGACCTGGCTCTTCTCGATGTGAATGCTCTCATCGAAATATCGAATCTAACTTGTCATACAACAGTTGGTATTGCACGGGCACCTGTACTGCCCTAAAGATGGCTATACAAGTCCCCCACAGAGAAAAAGGTTTTTGGGCCCGCTGAATGCAATGAGTATGACAGGCTAGCACACCTCCTCTACAATGTAGTTTCTAAAGGCCCCTTTACACTGGACGGTGTCCTTTCTGAGTCCTGCAGTACGGCCCCAATTGAGAGTTAAAAAATTATAATACTTTACGTGCCGACAACTGGCCGATCACTGAGCATTCATTCTGATACCAAATCAATGCTCTTGCCTCCTTATTAAGACCACAGCGATGCCAATTTCATGGTCGCAGAAAGGACCCAGAAAGGACGCCGTCCAATGTAAAGGGGGTATAACGTACTAGTATAATCGCCAGCTTCTCTGTATTCTATTCAACACCATGAGGATTGCATTCAGCGAGAGTCCCCGTGGAGTTAGTGGACATAAGCTAGATCGACATATTTCGATGTGAACGGCCCTAAGACACGGTGCTTAAGAGTACTTTAAAAGTTTGGTAAACCGTATCGTTGTTGAATTGACGCATATATCAATAACTAGTGAATCTTTTGATGAAGTATCTCAGTTATAACGTAATCATCTTTGCATCATCACATCCATTCCCACAGGTGCCCGACAACTTCATTACTGTACGCGTGCTTCTTGTGACAATATTTGAATCACTATGTTCTACGAAGAAAACTGTCAACTCTGATGGTCTCGTAATTAATCTTGTCAATATTGGTTTAATTATGTTATTGATGTGTGTCATTTTGTGTTTACGAAGACGGGGAGTCTGTCTCAGCATAATATTGTTTCCGTCAATACAGTGCACACAAACTCTTTTACATGCGTAATACAAGGGGGGGGGGTCTACTCCCAAGAACGAGGCACGTTGAGCTCACTGATAATTCTGGTATTTTGTCTCTTTTACACACAGAACACTTTAAATCATATGTGCATCGAGTAATAACAAATCTTGGCTTTCTTCGTCCTAAATGTCCTCATATAAAATATTTCACGGGTGCTGAGGTTGCTTATGCCCCGATTTCCTAACCCTTTGGATACAAAATACCAAAATTACCAATACCAACGTACCAGTAATCCCGTTTATGGGTTCAACTACCATGTAGTAATTAATATCCTGGCAGCGTTTTTTGTCTTCCAGTTCAATGTCCCTAGTGCCTTTCGTGTTAAGGGCTGCATTTCGAATTTTATCACGTTGTTTTATTTCTTCTTCTTTTATCTCCAGGCTTCTCAATGATAACGTGATAGAGAAACTTGAACCGGAATCGATGCGGAACACAAGTCGCCTTGTTACTCTGTAAGTAAAGTTAACATATATTTGGAACTACACAACTTCACACTGAAACTGATGCAAAGGCCGGCTAAATAATTATAATAATAATAATAATAATAATGATAATAATAATAATGATGATGATGATGATGAAGATCAGATTCCATTAGATCTCAGAATTTTAAGATTTCTAGTGAAAGGTGTAATGGGAGGGGGGGGAGGCTTCTGACACCAGATACTCCAGACTATGGATTTGAGGCGTTTGCGATTGGGGTTTTGTCGAGGTGCAGCCGAGATAGTGTCACACTTCTATGTAGCCGGCCTTCCCCACGCCTGACAGTTCGAACAAAGGATGATTGCACTTGAATCTCGCTTACAACACAATAAAGCGCATTGAAATATAAGCACGCGTGCACCTCTACAAGCAAAATACATGAGCAATTATCTTACGTTATGCCAGCCGTGATATATATATATATATATATATATATATATATATATATATATATATATATATATATAGGCCCGTAGCCAGGGGGGGTTCGGGGGGTTCGAAAGAAAGAAATATATATATATATATATATATATATATATGAACACTTTTAGTGTGATTGTTTTCCCTCCTTAATCGTGTTTTGACGGATACAGTATACGCCTGATGTGACAGTTTGGAACATAACTCTATGGAGAGTCAGTAATTCTAGGATAATTACTCCAATGTTTCAGCAAGAAAGCAGTATTAATCATAGTCATGAATTTGCGGCATCGGCATAGTAACAAGAACTATTTTTCTTCTAGCTCCATCTACCTTTACATCCAAGGAGCAATACTTAATACTTGAATCATGAATCCGATAATTTGGTTTTTTTTAGTCGTAATTGTGGTTGATAAATTATTTTCAGAGAAATAAGCGGAAATTTTCTTCGAGAACTCCACAACGATACGTTCAAATACTGTACCAATTTACAACATTTGTAAGTACTGAAAGACTGGACGTCCGGTTTTATACATTCTTATCATTGACATATTTTCATTATATTGCAAAATTATTTCCATGAAATTCTAAAATAGGTAAATAAGTTTATTAAATATTCAGGCTTAAATAACATTAAGCTGTTGTTCAGAACATTTATTTTACTGTACGTACGTATTTGTTTCATGGTAAACGCCTTGGAGAGAATCTTGACAGTTGACAATTTAAAAGTTTCAGGCCACTTCTCAGATCAAAATATACTTTTCTTGAAACTGATGCCTTTTCTTGGTAAACTTAAATTTTGTAGAATAAGTTTGAATACTAAAATGACCTTCTTTGTGGAGGTGATTACTCTAAATGTGTACAACAAAGTTGTTTGATCAGTTATTGATTTCCTTTTTTTTTTTTTTTTTGGTTTCAGAACGCTGAAGAGGAACCCTCTTGTTTCCATTGATGATCATGCCTTCAGCACCATCAAACATTTAAAAACGCTGTAAGTGTTTAACTCTGTGTCAGTACATGTAAGTTCCCTAACACGACACATTATTGTCATTGTATTGATTTTACGTGTTGAATTGCTTCTAAAAGATTTGAAATTGGAGCCGGTGAAAACCGTTACATGGGAAGGGCGTTTTTGGGCAGTTGGCCTGGCGCGTAAGGCTTCAAATCGAAACCCAAAGAAAAATGCCAAAAAGAAACACGCCAGAATAAATTACATCACCATGTGCCTTTTATAAAAAAAAATTATAATTCCACGTTGCTATTTGACAGTTACTGGAGCAGCCTCACTAAAAAACAAGCAAACACGTGCTTTTTTTCTGTGACCACAATGAGCTGTCGATTGCGTGAGGAGGTCTTTTGAGAACATCAATTTTCACACTGTAATGGGGACTTTACACGTTGTCTGTTTCATGTTTTTCTCTTTTTGCTCAGGGACCTCAGCGCGTGCGGTCTTGGTCGGCACAACATAACGAACACGTTTCAGAATCTGAGTTCCCTAGAGACGTTGTAAGTATACTTGATATACATATGGATACGTTTGATAAACAAACAGATAAAATACCATCACAAATGAAATTTCAGCAATTTAGACACACTTACTGAGGACAATAGTCTTTTGGTGAATGAATAAAGATAAGTAAAAAAGCAAAGCTTCGCCTTGACGTCAAGGGAATATCACATTGACATCCACTGGCGCTTTACGTACTGCACGCAGTATTTTGGGGAGATTTTAATATCCCTCTAGGACCCTTTAAAGTATCGTATGAAGGGTCGCAATTACCCCGATTAGCTTAAGACTAAAGCCGAATCACTGGTATGGTACACGTAACATACTCTCTCGCGCGCACACGCCACCACATAATAGTTAGATGGATTTATCTACTGATATCTATCTATCTATTTATCTTTCTATCATGACACTAAATACATGAATGTCGTTGAGTGACGTATGCCTTAGAATATATATTTATTTTAGAATGCTTGACAACAACGAAATATCAGACTTACCAGAAGGAGCACTGAAAGGGACAAATAGTCTAACCACATTGTAAGTATATAGAGATCATTCTGATATATTTTATTTCTGTGGGAAACGATTTCTTGCTATACACTTTGTTAACCCCGTCACAGAAGAGGGCAATGTTTCCATCGGCCTTTTTTGCGTTGGTTTGTCTTTTTGACAAAGTCATCATTAAAAGTTATTAAACTTTGACAAAATTTTAGTTTAGAACAGTCAGTTATTCACAGGGGAAAAAGAAATGATAGCAGTTTTAACTGAGTCTGAACTACTTAATATTTTAAGCTTTTTATGAGTAATTTTTTAGAAATATTTTATTATGTACAGTATTATATTTAATCTTGTTGGCCTTAATGGTGAAATAATTTAACGTAACTGCAAGCACATTCTTCTCTTTCAGATGGGCTGTGAACAACTCAATGGTAAAATTTCCCCTCTCTGCCATCCGAGGACTGAAATCTTTGACCACCCTGTAAGTTTTTGAAGTTCAAAATACATTTGCGGTGGAAAATCGTGAATAAACTTTCCTAGTCAGCCAGATATTTTTGACACTAAATTATGGGTTTGGTGCTAGATGGATGAGTGAGTCAGTCGTAAGTTGACTAGTTGTAAGCAGGGGGGGGTTTAGGGGTATCTCACTTTACTCCCCCCCCCCCCCCCCACCGTTACTCCCCCTCATCAGTTTTGAATGACTTTTAGAAAAAGCTGGTTATTGGAGTTATGCGTGTCTGAGTTAGGATAACATAGCGTTAAGGTGGGCAGTTCTTCGTGCAAGTCAACACCACGTGCTCTGAAGCTTAAAGTTATGTCTGGTTTCCTTTCAGATACCTAAGTAATAACAAGATACAAGTGGTTCCTGCCAACTTGTCCGAACTCGTGGCTCTGAAGTATCTGTAAGTATCCAGGAAGGCCCGTTGACAGTTACCAAGACTGAGAGCACTATGTGTTTTCAAAATTTTTATAGATTTACTCTTTGTCAAAAAAAAAAAAAATAAATAAATAAATAAATAAATAAAAATAATAATAATGATAATTTTAATTATCAATATAATTATCCATTTTTTTTGTTAAATATTTATCTCGGATATTGTCAGACAAATTATTATTAAAATAATAATGACAAAAATTTGTCTGACAATATTGGAGATACGACAATATTCAACAAAGCATCTAAAACAATGTTGGAACTTATGGATTTCATGTACTTTTCAGATATCTTGATGATAATGAAATTCACACATTTGAAGATGGCTCTCTTCAAGGTCTGCATAGACTGACGACTTTGTAAGTTAATTTTGCAATTTTTATTATGTTTTTAACCTGATATCTTCATGTTCAAATCATTTGCAGCAGAAGTTGAGCTTTCATTTTCATTGATTCTATTTTCAGACTTCTGTGAAGTGAAAATATACTACATGCTTTTGCAACCTGTTTCCTATTATACACTGTACATGTAACTTTAGATTTCCCATGTACTTGTATGACGCTTGTACCACAGAAGTTATGAAACTGAGCAAATCTCTTGGTAATTCATCAGCTTGCACAAGTAGCCAAACATGGACTTTAAATTTGGTGGTTGTTATTACCATAATTTTTAATTCTTTTGAATAATACATTTAATTTATTTATGCAACTTGGTCTGATTTGTAATAAAGATATTGATTTTTTTTCAGGTGGCTCTCCCGCAATAAGATCAGCTATCTACCAGAATCTTTTCAAGATCGTTTCAATCACTTGGAGTATGGCAATGTGTGAGTGCAGTGAACTGCTAGACAGATCTACAGCTTCTGTTTTTATATGTAACAAAAAAGGGTGAAATACTAGTATTCGTTATAAATAGTTTAAAGGCAGTTTTTGTGACAGGAAATGCGTCCAGTATGTACTTCGTGTTTAACATACCAGGTGCTTTAATTAAGAAGAGATATTGTAAAAATTAGCATGTAAGATCATGTTCAGATCAATGTTCATTTTGAAAGAGATACCACAAAAATGTTTTATATAAAAATTATTTATAAAATGTGTTTGAAATAATTAAAACTGTGATTTGATTCAGTGATAAATTGAAGAGTAGGCCCTACATATTAGGTATAAAACAAGGAGGATTGAGAATTCAAGTAATTAATAACAAAAGTTGAAAAATTGAAAAATACTGTTTCTGTTTACAATACAGATGTAATAAAAGCTGATGGCAAAATATGCATGATACAGAAGTAATATAAGTACTGCCACCTTCCATTGACAGGCCGTTGTCCAAGAACCCAATGTCATGTGACTGTCACATGGTGTGGTTTGCTCGCTGGGTCAGGCGAAAAAGTGGGTTCATAGTTCCAGAGCCTGTTTGTGCGGAACCTGCCAAGTTAAAGGGCATTTCCATGGCAACAGTTCCCCTGGAGGATATGCTGTGCTGTAAGATATATAGTTTATTTGTCATATTGTTTTCTGTTATTAGTTTTCTTTTAAATTGCTCATAGTTCCAAGATATTGTATTCATTAACTTTTTTGGTGTGAAGATATTCAGTTACGTTGGAGTTGCTCACACTGTGGGAATTCAGCCAGATGTTCCTTTTATGACAGTTAACAGAAAAGTAACTGTTTTGTGATATTGTGTTCCAAATTAAGTTCTCGTTACCAAAAATAATCACAAAAAAGTTAAAAGTGTATATATTTATTGGATGGGGACAAGCTTATTTATAATTATTTAAGTTGGTCATCAACATTATTACTGAAGTCATCGAATATCTGAATTTTAGCAACCATATATTAAAAAAACAAAACAAATGAAAGATTATTGATAAACACAAGGACTGTTATTATCACCATTTGATATATTCATTAATTGAACAGCAATTTTGATAAAACATAAATATTGTATTTTAGCAACAACTCCAGTTTTATGCAATGTTCAAGATCCTAACTGCCAGAAACTGTGTGGTAATAAAACGTCTTGCTTTGGTGAGTGATTTGTCGACCATAATTAAAAAATCAGAACTTTCCAATTTATTGTCAATCATTGTGTTTGAGATCTTGAGCTACATGTTCATAGATATAACTGAGACAACAAGACAGTCCAATGTTATAAAAATACTACATATAAAATACTATAGAGAACAATAATCAAATTACATGAACAACATGTACCTAAGTGTACAATGTATTTCTCAGAAGACTAAAATTCTAAAAATAATTTACTTAGTTCGAGCCGAAGATACAGACTTGACATTTAATATGGAATATTTTTTTCCAAATCATTTTTCATCATTTTTTTTCCTATTTTGCTGACTGATAAATGAAAATAAGGATTAAAATCAGGTTTCAATAACTTTTAATTATCTCTTTGATGTCATTGTGACTTCAGTTAATTAATGGAATTCGCCAGAAAAGCAAACAAAAACACATTGCCTATTCTTTGTCATGCGACAACAATTAAAAGAGATATTTTGGAGCTCCATATTTTCCAAATTATTTTCTGTAAAAGAGTTACACGCCTCACAAAGAACCCCCATGTCAGTGTCTAGTTACAGTAATGGTCGCTGTTACGCTTGACCTCTTCTGTTTGCTACCAGCGCTCTCAAGGGGCAAGGCATTCCTTGGGTTAGGTCTTTAGAGTTAAATCTGGAATAACATTCCAGGCATCGGTCAAAATCTGTCCAATTTGGCCCAGTTTTGTTGTAGGACATGTAGGCCATTGATTTGGCCAGTAATGGTATACCCACATATTGTCTATGTGGTTCAAAACTGGCGATTGTGATTACCAAGGTAGCTGCTCATTCCCTTGGTTCTGTAAGTAATCTGCTTTTAAAAGTGCTATGTGTGTACAGTCAATTTCACCGTGCAACCTAAAATTGTTCCTAAGGTGCCCCCTGTCAAATGATAGTCAAGTGGTTCCCAGATTATTCCTTTATTTGATCTGGCTCAGGTTTTCGTGGATGACCATCATTGGTGTTTTGGCACCAATGTGATATCCGCTCCAATTACCGACGCTGTTAATGAATTAAGTCACTTTAAACGCAGCACACGCTTAGTCATTGGCCTCTTCTGGACGTCTGTAAACTCTGTTTTGACAAGTTGAGCAGTAGAGGTGAAAACTGACCTCAATAAAGAAAGCCACGAGTTTTCAGTGTTCAACTCAGAAACAGTCAAGGTCCCCAATTCAGTAGAGAAACATACAGCGATGTTTTGCTGTTTACAGTGGGTTCCCCCGAGGTCGTCTGGTATTCTAACTAAAACCAGTTTGGTGTTTGCTAAGGGCCTTGAAAAATGCATTTTGGTGGCAATTTACCCCTCATTCTGAACGGACTGGGTGGTTTTTGTTTAGTTGCAACAACATATCCAGACAGACAGTACCCTGTGGTAAGATTTCAATACATTGGGTGTGGTCTCTGTGTAGGTACATCAGTCTGGACATTGCTCTATAAAACTGTGCGGACCGTTTCGCTTGGCGCAATTATCTGTCTGGCAATGTCTGACTTTTTCGAGCCATTCTGCCACAGATTAACAAATTTGGGGAGCAGTGCACAGCTCATTTTACACCTTGCAAAACCGACCACTTGCATGCAAAATTTTAAATTCTTCTATGCAGTAGTTTCCGACATATGGATACTTTTTTGGAAGAACCATGCTTTGCCAAAGCCAAGCTTTGACCTGCCCAAAGGAGCACTACCCAATTAAATCACTGCATATTACATAATGCAGCAGCGCAACAAACCTGGAATTCAGTGAATTGGAAGCGACACACCTGACTACACACTTCTCCATTCACATATCTTATGTGAGATCTGAGTTTTTTGAAAAAAGAATGCATTTTTACCTAGGCATACCTTCGAAACTGAAATATTCCATATTAAATGTCAAGTCTGTACATGTACATCTTTGTTTAAAAAAAGACATTTGCCTACATGATAGTATTGAATTGCATGTAATTGTATCTTTTGTCTATCATCTTATTGTGAAAATATAATAACATCTGCAATTATGAGAGCCTTTCCTTTGTAAAGTGTTAAATATGCATGTACTAAATGCATGGAGTTGGTAACTGCACTTTTGGAAAATTCATATTGAAAAAAGTCTGAAAAGTTTTGTAGCAATCAATATCTGGATCATAATTTCAGTCTGTCCTGCTGGGAGTTATGGGACAATCTCCAAAGACATGTCCGCCATGTCCTGTACCAGCTGTCCTGCTTTTTCCACGAGTCCCCTGGGTAGTCGATCTCTAGGCGACTGTCAGTGCAGGGAGGGCTATGCTCAGAATGGAACCACTGCCCTCTGTACAGGTACAGTGTACACTGGCTTTAACTGATACACGCACATGTGACCACATTGGGAGCATCTCAACAGTCTGAAGGTTCATTTGTCCGAAAAATGGTAACATTTTCATCGGGGTTTTAATCAAGGATTCATTGGTCTGAGGGTTCTATTGTGAACATTTGGACCAATGAACCCTCGGACTATATTGCTATGGCCCCAATCACATTATCAATAAAACTGTTTGTGGTTCCAAGGAATTGTACTTACTGATGTTTTAGTGATAGTCTAATCACTTGGGAACAAAAACTGTGGGCATGCAGCCTGATAATGCTCTTGTGGCAAGAGCAAAGTAAAAAGTATGTGATTGCTATCACTCAGACGTCAGTAATTAAATGAGTATCACAGTTAAGATTCAGAACCAGTCTGATGGGTTTATCTACCGGTGACATGTACTGTTCTGCTGTAAGCCAACTGGGCCATTATTCCTGCAGGTTAGGGAAGATTCAAATTGGCATCGCATTGGATATAGAATTGCAAAAAATAAATAAATACCAGTTATGATATATATATATATATATATATATATATATATATATATATAGGTATGTATTAAGGTATGTAGGGAAGAGATGCATAAAAATGAAGAAAAAAAAACATTCTTAATCATACAATCTGTTGTAGAAACACATTATTTATGATGCAATTTATAACATACATTCATTTATAACGTAATATATGCATGCTGTTCATGTACATAGGTATATTGAACCATAATTTGTTTTGGAAAGGAAATAAATTGATACACTGGTACATAGACAGTGGATGTATCATTTTCTCTCTCCACTAAACGATTCATATTAATACCCTACTTTATTATTGTAGCTTGTCCCAAAGATACCTACAAGCCAACCATTGGTCCAGGACAGTGTCTGGGGTGTAGGAACGGTTCTTCCACCTTCTATGAGGCCTCCCCCCACTGTGATTGCCAACCGGGATTCACACTTAATAAAAATAAAGAATGCACTGGTAATTAAGTTTATTTGATCAATTTAATTTACATAATGTTAAATTAATTAGTTTAAAGATTTTGGTAGTAGATTGATTCTCTGCCTTTCTTGTCACGTTTTTTTCTTTAATTAGATTCTATCTGATTAAAATAGATATATATGTCATTTAACTGTGATGAAATTAAAGTTACTTTTTCAGTAAAATAGAGTGAGACATATTTGTTCCAGTATTTGCTGTCCTATACTACATAACAATAACACTAGTAAGTTTGAAATCTTATATTATTTGTCCAAATCTTCCAGCGTGTCCAGAGAATTCTTTCAAGGAGTACCCAGGCCCTGGTGCATGCACTGTGTGTCCAGCATTTTCTGAGAGTTCTGTTGCCAGCGTTTCATTCATAGACTGCAACTGTACCTACGGAGAGTTCCAGAGCACGCACCAGAAGTTTGGAAAATGTCAGGAGTATGTTGGGCAAGAGAAGGTGTTGATGAGTGAGTATGGCTCTCTCTCTCTCTCTCTCTCTCTCTCTCTCTCTCTCTCTCTCTCTCTCTCTCTCCAGATGGTTTAAATAATGAACTGTAAAGCTGGTAAATGACAAAAAAAAAAAAG